CCTCCTCTCTCTCTCTCTCTATTTGAAAAGGGGAAAAGTCGATAGAAGTCTGCGCAAAGCACCCAAAACACCCCTTTTTCCTGTTCTCAACGCAAAGGAGCAGTGGCTGACAAACTGCCAAGCTCTGGACGTTGCCGCATCCACTCCTCAAACGTGATGGTCATCCGCCGTCGGGTTCGGTCGTAGCACTCTTCAAGGTAGACCTCAAACGCAATGAGGTTAAAATAGCGAATTAAATAATGAACGCCGGCGTGGTGGGCGTGGGCGCGGGTGACTTCGTTGTTATCAGGCGAGCGCGCCGCCTCGACGAAGCTCTCGATGGTGGTGCGCAGGTTCTGCATCATCGCGCAGGAGTTGATGACGAGATCGACCCGCAGCTTCGCCTGGCGCCCGAGAGGCAGCACCCGTTTAAGCTGAACAATGACTTCGTAGTTCCCATTCCACAGCTCCGCCGCGGCGTCGTCGCGGTAGAGCGGGTTGAAGCCATAACTCCCCTGCAGCTCCTCGTAGTACTCCGGCATTACGAGCCCGACGAGAAGGCAGCAAATGACCATCCCGGTTGTCGTGCGGCCGCGGCCCATTTGGCAATTAAACACAAACGACAGCGTCTCACGGCGGTCGATGTGTTCGGTGATGTGCGGTAAAAGCGCGGCGACGAGCTCGTCGAAGTTCCCGATCGCCGGGCTCTGCTCGTCCGTGACGGGAAGGCGGAGCATATGGCAGCAAAAGCCTTTCGCCTCGAGCTCCGCATAGACCTCCCAGAGCGTCTTCACTGTGGCCTCGTTCGCGGTTTCCCAAATCCCAACGAGTTCGCCCGGGACAACCTCGTCGTGCACGAGGAACTTCCCGCCGTAGACCGTCGCCTCGTTCAGGACGTCGAGCTTCAGCTGGGCCTCGACCTGGGCGATTTTGCTAGTGTGGATGCCGGTGAGCTCGACGTTGACATAGGGCGAGCCGAGGTCGCGGAAAACGAAGGGGCGGTCCCCGACGTAGAGAATCGGCTCCTCGCGGAGGTTTACCCACACAACGGAACCCCGCAGCGGGCGCTGAAGCTCCTCGGCGCGGAAGCCCCGGTCGAAAAGCCTCGGGGCTGCGAAGGCGCGGAAGGCCTCGCTGTCGTTCGACTGCCCCTGATAAACCGCCAGGGGCTCCTCGGAGGCCCCAAGGATGGTGAGAATATTGTGCAGCCCGAACAGGGTCGGCATCGCCACCCCGTAGACGTTGACAAAGTCGACCTTTCGGAAGTTCGGCGCGCCGCAGATGGTCGGCCGGAGCCCCTTCTTCTGGCAGCCCGGGAAGTGATCCGCTTTGAGGCAGAAATTCGCCGTCAGCACCTCGCCGCTGCGGCGCGAGACGTCCGCCCGCATCAAATTCTCCGTGGGAACATACTTCAGCGCGGCCTCCCCGCGGTCGGCGAGGCCCTTGATGATGTGATTCACCTCCGTATGGTCGGAGACCCACACGCTGAACGGGATCGGCGTCGCGTAGGCGCCCTGCTCGTCCAGATAAAGCGAGCTCAGCAGCACCAGTAGGTAGCATCGCAGGCAGTAGAGAGCGTTGAGCACGCACTGCGGACGGTTCACCCCGACAAGCGTCATGCGCTTCTTGAGGCCGTCAAGGAGGTGAAGAATGTTGTATCGCGGGCCGCTCCCGCCAAGCGTGATGGCGGCATTCACCGTGTTCAAAAGCGTCCCCGCCGTCAGCATCTGGCAGATGGTGGAAGCCAGCAGCACCTCGATGTTCGGCGGCGCGGTCTCCCCGGCCTCTGGCGCAGCGCTTGAAAGGGTCGCATAGTGCACCACCGTTTCGGAGGCCCCAACGCGGAGAATCCGGATAAAATCCTGCGGAGACTGCAAACTCCGCAGATCACAAATCCGAGAGGCACGGTAAAGCGCGACCATATTAAGCACCACCGACGCGCGTGTGCTGCCCTCCGGGTCATTGATAAAGAAGATATCCTCCTGACTGTCATCGCACTCGGATAAAAAGCGCATGAGCGGATCGATGTCAGTGGCGAGCATCTGTCCTGAGAAGGGGATCGGCACGCGGTGGTAAAGGATATTGCACTCCCGCGCGAAGTCCTCCATGTTCGAGCGCAACGTACGAACGGAGCAAACCTTCACCTTCTCAAAGGTGCGATTCCCCTCCTCGTCGACGTGGTGGAGGAGAAGGTAGCCGCCGTAGCCCTGCGCCTCGAGAAGCGCATCCCGGCGAAGGCGGTCCTCGATTTGCTCAATCGCTTGCCAGGAGATGTGCATCGTGGTGCCGTTCTCCGTCATCGTCGGCGGCGCGTTGAATTCGGTGAGGGTGTAGCCAAGATCGTTGATCATCACCATCGGCTCCGCGCGCAGGCTCAGCCAGTGAAAGCGCTGCGGACGCCTATCCTCTGCGGGGAACGCTGCGCGAATCTCGCGAACGAGTGTCAGCCGATCCGCCGCACTCAGCCGCGCGCAGGTGAAGACAGGAACGCCTGGGGCAAGCTGCCGTAGAGTGCAGCCATCCCTCTCGAGGCTGCGGATCGGAAGGCAACATAAAATGCGGCCCGAGCTCAGCACGTTGCCGTGGCGGTGTCGGATGATGTGGGTAGCCTCGGTCTCCTCGGCAGTCCTGCCGCTTGCCGTGCTCAAATGGATCTGCTCCTCGCGAAGCTGGTCGTCGAGCTTGTTGCGGATGCTGAGGATGAGCAATTCCATATCCGCATTCCCGTGCAGCCACTCGGTGAAGGACTCCTTCGTCGCGAAGTTCCACAACCGTTGCTCGCAGTAGCACGAGAACGCGAGGAAAAGGGCGTACTGCTGAAGTCGCATCATCGCCTCCTCAGGGTCGGTTTCTAAACTCACAAAAGCCTCGTTGATGTGGTCTGCCATGGAGTAGAAGCTGTCGGTGAAGTCCATCAGGATGTTCACCCGCCGCTCGTGCAGTTTACCGTCTGGAAAGAGCGAGATCAGCTTCTGAATTGTACGAAACGCGGGCGCTTTGGTGTTACCGCGCAGCACCCGCACATCCGCCGAGATATCCTTCACGCACATTTGATAAAAGCGCACAATGCTAGCGATCTGCATCATCGCACTGCTGCGGCCGCGCCCGGTCTGGCAGTTAAACACCATCACCGCTTTCGGCTCCTCCAGGCAGGCAGATAGCACAAAGTCAAAGTCCTCCGTCTTTGGTCCGATGTTCTGCGTGATAGGAAGACGGTAATAATGGAGCTGATTCACGCGGTGTTCGAGTGCTAAGCTTCGGAAGACCTCCGCGAGAGTTTGGACATTTCCTGAGTGAGCGCTCGTCCACTGATCTACCACCACCCCATCCTTGACTTCTACTTGAACGCTGATGTTGCCGCCGTTCTCGCGCGCCTCGCGGAGCACCTCCTGCTTCAGTTTATCCTCAATCATTTCAATGCTGCGCCCGGTAACGTTCGGGATGATGTGGGATTTGAGCGGGTCGCTACGCGACCGCACGATATATGCAGCGTCACTGATGTAAATCAGAGGCTCATCACGCAGATTGATCCAAACAAGGGGCCCATCGAAGTGTGTACGGCTGATTTGGTTGAAAATCGCGCGCACAGCACTCGCGTTTGCCTGCGAGACACCGGCAATGCCAAGCTTCGGTGCGATGCGGAAGTAAGGTGCGGCGGCGAAGATGCCGACAGGGTCATGGTGACTATGTAGCGCATCCCACAAATCCACTACAAGAACATGCTTTGCGGAGAGCACATCGCCGTTCCGGGCGGCGGTGACCCCCGATGGCGATGGAAGCACCACATCCGGGCGATTCCTTAGCATCTCCATCATCGTCAGCGCGCCATCGCGCATCCGTGTCGAGCCGTTTGATCGCAGAGAGGTGGAATGCTCCATGCTCCCCCCCAGTGTTGTCTCCCGTAGGCTAAAGACGTCAAACACGCTGGGGAGGTGAGGGACCGGCCCCTGACGTGAGACTGGCCCCCCGCCCGCACCCTCATCAGCGAGAGGAGAAAGGCAAGAGGTGGAAGCTTCCTCGGAGGATCTTCTCAGCCCTTTCCCTCGCTGGCTGTGCTGAAATGCAGCGAAGGTGGCTGCCGCGGCAGCCCGTTCGTAAACCTCCGCCTCAGTTTTTGCGCTAAAGACCTCCGGCGAGGGTGGCCGGATGATCGCGCGCACAGGGGCGCCCTTCCCGACCCCGGGCGCCCCGCCCATCGTCACGGTACGCTGCAGAATCCGCCGCTGCACCGCCTCTAGGTGGCTCGTCAGTTCCAGAA